TACCAAGTGAAATGATTCGTGATGTTTGCAATTCCATCTGTCATCGTTATCAGCAGTACCTGGACCAGAACGGTCATCGGTTTGAACACCTGCAATAACTCAAAATATTCTACTCTTGTCTTCTTTAACTTGGATTATAAAACTTAGATATATCTTAATAAACATTCTATTTATAATCATTCAAAATGTGTATACATTTTTTGGGACACCTTGTATATATATATATATATATCAAGTCTGAAAATATAGTCCAACATACAGTTGATTAATAAATGGAAATGAAATTTTCCATTTTAACACATTCTTCATTATAGGACTTAAAATTATAATTAATTATTAATTATAATTAATCTTAATCAAAACTATAATTTAATTGTAATTTACACCTTATTAAAATAGTATTAAAACAGAGTATATGTGCTATAAATTGAGCTCAAGAATAACCCATAGTCTGAAAGTGGCAGAACTTTGATGTGATAGGAAATAAATGAGTTTATTAAAAATAACACAATAAAAAATTAAGATTTTAATTTATCACTAAGCAAACAAAATGTACAAGTAACGATCTTCAGTGTTTCAGAGAACTAAAACTTGTTTTAACATCAGAATTTCTTAAATATTTATTTTTGCAATTAACCCCCCCCCCCAAAAAAAAGAAAGTTTCTCTCATCTTTTACATCTAATATTATGTGTAGTTTTTTTGTGTGAATATGAGTTTATAAGAAACAATTAAGATCTACAACAGCATAATATGCATAAACTTTTGGTTAAAATCACATGAACATTAACACCATAACATAGTTTTATTAGTCTCAGTACTTAGGAGGTAACGCCAAACAATTCTGGCATACCACAATTTGTTGATTACATACTATTTTGTATTAATCATCCATATATTCAAACTATCATAAGTGTTTTATTCCAGTAAGAAGAATCTCTAACCAATGAATGGTGTGTCAAATTCAGCATAGAAACTTTACTTGAATGTAAAAATATATAAATATAAAGCACTTGAAAGCAACAAACTACTACTACTATTATCAATACTATCCAGTTTTCAGTACCACAAAGAGTAACTGTAAGATAAATGTATAGAGCTTAAGCTTAGTTTTTGTTTCTGTGGATGAATTAGACACTTAAACCACCATTAATTCATTACAACTACCAAACTCTTTATCTATTATTACTTACCAATTCTCTATGACAAAGTACTTCCAAAATAGCTAAAAGTCGGGTCCCATCTCTCAGATCCACAAACAAATCTCTGATTATAGGTTGGTTAGCCTGTATGCATTTAAATATCAGACAAAATATTTCAGACACTTATGATGACGTACAACAGTAGTTCTCAAACTGTAAGGTGCGATCATAATTTGTGAGAAGGGAAAAGGAGAAGCATCATGACAACGTTTTGTCTTTTTTTTTTCCTAAGTTTAGTTTATCATTGTAAGTATTGGCTGTATATATGCATCATGGTTTAAATGAGTTGAAAGTTTCTTTGGAAGTGTGTGTGTGTGTGTGCATGTGTGCAAAGTGTATTACAAAAGAAAAAAGGGGTGTGCAACCTAAAAGGTTTGAGAACCACTGATGTGTGAAATGTTATATTTTCCTAGTTTTTACAATAAAATAAATTTTTCAGTAAATAGCTTTTTACTAAAATCTTTACTGTACTTTAGGAGTTTAGAGTACTAAATAAATTTAAAATAGAAACTTACACAAATTAAAAGGATGAAGATAAGCAGAATAACTTTCAAATGAACCTCATCTTCAGGAATTGAGTCTAGTGATTATCATTCTGAAGTTACAGTAAAATTTGGCTTGCTCTCTTTTCCTCAGACTTTAAGCTTGTAATTTACCATTGATTCCTAGCTTACTTTTTAGTTACTTGAAATATCATAAGCTTAAAGATTTCTATCTTATAATCAGATGTACATGTACATGAACCATTTAACAATAAAATTTCATTCAGTATCCTTGGTAAGAAGCGAAGCATGGCTAAAGTCATGGAAGTAAAAATACTGCACAAAATGTCAATCTAAAGAATACCACCCTCATTAAAATTTGTTATTTTTGAAACACCCATCTCATCCTTAATCATAAAATGCATACATTATGAACAAGTGGGTGTAGTAACTTGGCAAAGAGCCAAAGATTAAAGTAATTGCAACAGCAAATATTATTGAGAGAGAGTGAGAGAGAAAAAAAGAAAATTTATTGCTCAATCTCTTCAACATTAAACTGATTAATAATGAAGATGAAGACAGTTGATAAAACATTTTATTTACAAGGTTCGAACTAAACTAATGATTATGTTATTATATTATAATTTTAGTAATAATCATCTTTGTAACACAATTTTCAGATTTCGCGGAAGATGGAACAAGTTATTCCGAAATGTTCAAACCTTTTAAATCAAATATTTTATGTTTTATCAACCGTCTTTATCTTCATTATTAAACTTTGGTTTCCCCATCATGAATCCATTGCTAGCATTAAACTGATTAAATTTCAATTTCTGCATAACAAAATTAATGTATTTACATAAGCTGCCACTAGGGTTGCCACATTTTCAAAACAGAAATAGAAGACAATTTCCACCCAAATCTAAAATTTTAAGGGTAATGCTTAAAGGATGCTAAGTAGTCCACGTGCATTTAACCCTTTAAGGACAGGTGTGGTAAATAAACACTATGTATCTTGCTTGAGAGCTGGGTGAGGCATATAAACACACATTTCTATTTATTAAAGATGGGTGCTGTTTAAAACTACTATAGCTCCACTCTTTTTCTTTCGCTTGCTTTCATTGGTTAATGCATTTTAAAGTCATAATTTGATTGGATAACCACCTTTATGTCATTAGATACCATCCAATGAACTATTCGGCTACCTCTACATCATCACATGCTAGCAAAAGAAATATCTATTTATAGAATGCTATATTTACTGTAAAACAATGAGTTGAATTTGAATTAGATAATTTTTTTTTCAGTTATTTGTTCATCATGGACGAACCATCTATGTCATCCTCATTCACGCATACCAAAAAAATGCCATTTTAGCCCTCAATCAATACGTAAAGTTATAGATGAGTGAAGTGATGAAAGTGAGCCTGAGGCATGTTCAGATAATTGTGATATTGGTAAGATTACATGGAAGAATGAGGATGATTTTGTGCCTCATGACTATTCATCCTCTAATGAAAATTCAGGAATTTGTTATTCATTTCCTATTCAAGAGAATGCCCCTGTTATTGAATATTTTCTAGCCTATTTCAACAGTGCTCTTATGAAGAAGACTGTAGACAATACTAATATGTATCGTGAATTCTGTGTACACAATTATGATGTACATCAAAAGGCAAAAAGCCAACACTGGAGTGAGACAACAATTGATGAAATGTACTCTTTTTTTTTTTTTGCACTTATTCTACTAATGCTTCATGTG